AATGTAGCGGTATCATTGAGTATGTCACATTTAATTTAGCATTTGCATGGGTGATCTGGAAAGGTGAATAGCAAATACAAAAATTAATTCTGCAGGCAAAATTGGAAGATGTTACAAATACCCAAAAGGGTGGTGAAATGATAAAAATAAAAATGACCTAACAATTACATAAATATGGGAAGGATATGGTGGTAAAATCATAAAAATGCACAGCTGAATCAAAATAGCAAAATGAGATACTGCCTGAAAGACATACAGTTGTATAAGTAAGAGAAAGTAATCAAAAACATGATACTCCTTGGGCAGCAAGAAAATAAGAAATTAATAAAGCTAAAGAAAACCAAAAGTGACAGTGCAAACTTAGGTTGCAATTTTGAAATTTGATGAACAAAAAGAGCCAAGTTATTTTGAGCTTTAACCACCCTATGACTTATTTTAAAACAAATTTAAAAATGATTCTCTGCAACTTCTAATCTACCCCCACCCCCCGCCATGGATACAATATTGATTAGGCCATATTTGCTATGCCTTTCCCAATTTTGCATACCACAACAAAAAAATAAGGAAAATATTAAGAATTAAAGAACTCTGGTTAATCAAATCTAAAAGTTAATGAGGTAGAGCACACAAATGATAAAGGGAGTTAAAAGAGTCAGATTGGCTGAACAATCATATTTCTAGCACAGACCCATAGAAAATCAGGCATATTGTGTGGGACAAGCAAATTCTAATTAGAGAATAGATTTCAATGTTGACCTAATTATCTACTGTCCAGCTCTCATTTCTATGGGATAAATCCAGGCAAGTAAATAATTCTTGGAGATGAAACTGCTCTTTCTAAAAAGGAAATTACTTCCTCTTTCTCCATGAAGCCCCAAATGGTTGGAAAACCAAAGCGCAGCATACTGCTTTTGTTCAATCTGAATCCTAAATATCACTTCTAAAGGGATAATATGTACTTCAAGGGGTCCAGACAGTGTGTTTCTATGCAGTCAAAAAGGGTTTTCTTTTAGGAAAACAGGAGTTCAAAATAAGGACAAGAACTCTCAACTCTGAAATGAAACAGCCAGCACAATGCAGCAGCCACCAGTAAAATCAAGTAAATTATTAGGTGAAAGAGAAGTAGAGGATTAAAAGAAAACACTCACAGCTCCATTTTAAGCTGGGCTTTTATAATCTAAGTATTCATAAGAAACCATTTTAGAATTGGGGTGGGGAGTAACTACAGTCAACTGTAATATAGTAAGGGTCTGTTACATGATCTAATTACAGAAATGAAAGCAACCCAGGAATTATGTGGTCTATTCAAGCCTGCAGGGAGTACGAACAAAGAATATAATTATACATCAAGCCTGTTGATTAAACAATTACTATTTAAAGCAGATATAGATTTAAAATTAATTTGCTTCTGCATTCTGAGGATTTGGGGACTGAGATAAACAGTGTTTGAAGTTTAATTATCCATGTGTAAGATGAAGGGGCTCATTTCAATTTGGTTAGCACTGCAGAGTTTGGGATGGTATAAAAGGAAGAAATCAACTCCGCTGCAAGTCTCAGCACTACCAAAATGTGTGATTAAAGTGAGCAAGAAGTCTCTCTCAGCCTAATCTTTACAGAATGTGGTAATGTCACAGGAGAGATTGTGCAATTGCAAATTAATATTTAAATGAACACTAGTTTGAAGTTTACCTGGAGGGGGAACCACACTATCTGCAAAAGAACAGAAGAAGGCCAGCCAAAGAGTTCCACACTCCACAGCCATGAGATCTGGGGAGTGGAGACCTTCACGCATGTCTGAGCAAATAGGACATCTACCTGCCAGCAATTCTGAATGGAGTGATTCTTATCAGAGGCCACGTGTACAGTGTCCCAGGGCAGAATTGCAGGGCTGCGGGGTGGGTAGGGTGAAAGGGTGAATTGGAGGTGGAGTGCAAGACAATAAACAGAAACTAGAAATTTCAAATGTTAAAGAGTAACTATTGGGATGTGTGGCGCTGTGGCTGTGTTCACATACTGAGATCGAAACACACCAGACAGAATTTCCAGACCTCAGACCCAACCCCCTAGCTCCCAAAAGGGAGGTGTGCTTGGTGACCCAGCTGTGTGGCAAGACCCTGGGGCAGGAAAGCACACTGCCTAGTGTGGCTCTGAAGAGAATAGGTTTGGAATGGGACAAGCTTGAGCTTAAAAGTCAGCTCCATTTTTCAATTGCGTGACTTCCACAAAGCATTTGTTTCTTAATTCTCCCCCATTTCATCAATGAGATGACTTTCATTCTTTCCTCCCTGGGTGGTTGCAAAAAAACACTAAACTTGATCATGAGGGCAAACCCGAGTGTCTTCTCCCTACTTAAAGCCCCTAAGGGGCTCCCCATCACTTTTTGGGTAAAGATGAATCCCTTTCAGGTGCCCTACAAGGCTTGGCAAGAGACTGAGCTGCCCACATCACCCTCCTTCTCTGACTTCCCCTCCCCAACATTTCCTCCATTGAAGACACTCTACACTCCTCACTGCTTTATTCTCCCTCTCTCCTACCTCAAGCCCTCATCTTTTGAACACTTTTTCTTCTCCTCTTCCCCAGTTATCATCTATTCATTCTTCAGACGGTCACCTCACGTTATCTGGGGGTAGTGGCTAGAAAGTCAGGTTTGGCAGACAATACATCAAGTGCAAATCCCAAGCTCCACCACTTACTATCTATGTGACTTTCCCCCACCTAAGCATCCCCTTCCTTCTCTGCCAAATAGGCATAAATACTAGTACCTCCAACAAGTGGATGTTGTATGCGCTACATGAGTTGGTATATGTGACTGTCTGAGCACAGACATACATAGTGAGCATTGAGACCTGCTTTTTTCATAGTCCCTAAAGACTATCATATCAACTTGTCAGAGGTACAACTTTATGTGTGTGATTACTTCAGTACACCTTTCTCCACTAAAAAGGAAACCCCAGGGGCAGGAGTTTACCAGTGCATAGTCCACATCAGAGATACAGTTCCTAAGCAGACTAGACACTCAAATAGTTGCTGAGGAAAATGAAATGAAAATGCTGAGCATTGTGCCTGACACATAGTGGGACCTCAATGAATATCAGCCTTTAAATAATATCCCACTGATCATGCCAAGTGATAAGTGACAAAAAATAATACATTGCCAGTGGTTTTCAAAGGGGAGTCATTTTGCCCCTGAGGGATGTGTGGCAATTGGCTTTGGCAATGTCTGCACTGGGGTTAGGGGTGGAGTGTATTACTGGCATCTAGCTGATAGAAGCCAGGGTGAGGGGTGGGGGTGGGTATAAGGAGGGAGGACTGTAAGACATCCTGAATGCAAAGGACAGTCTTCCCACAAGGAAATACCCAGCACAAAATGTCAATAGTGCCAAGGTTGAGCAACCTTGAATTCTGCTTTCTGTCATTTTTTTCTGATCACTTAATTCACCAGTTAAGTTATAACAGGCTTAAGATACTTGACTCTCATCCTATCAATTGCTGTAGCAACAAAGCCATCCTTGTCTTTCCCTCTGTCTTCCAAACTCGGCCTCACTGGACAGCTCATTCCTCTTCCCTCCTGTGCCTAGTGTGAGGTTAAAGTGTGGAAGTATATGTGAAGCTGAAGAAAAAAAGCACACACTTGGAGACATCTCCTTTTTTGTGCACTCTTCTGCATCATACATAGATTCCTATTTTCCAAAGAGAGCTTTCAATAAAACCTAACGTGAGCACCGGTACCTGGCTTTCCAGACAGAACTCTGTTTCAACTTGTTCCAACAAGTTCATATAACAAAAAAAAAAAAAAAAAAAAATAGGGCAGGGACTGACATGAATAATCTTTCATGTCTAACACAGAGGTTGCTCTAAGATGCAAGAGCAACGTTGCCACAATAAATACTATGCTCAAAAATTATCAAAGACAGGGCCTCTCTGGAGGAGTAGGGGTTAAGTCAGCACTATCACTGCTAAGGCCTGTATTCAATCCTTGAGCTAACCCACATACGGTGCACCAGACCTCTCCTATCTTGCCAGCTGCTCCCTTTAGCAGTGTATTTGAGTCAATCCACCTGTTCTGCTCCCTACTTTGTCTCTAGTGAATCCTCTGCATCACCCTCTGCATCTCTGGCCTACACCTCAGTTCTTCTATGCATAAATAAATAAATCTTAAAAAAAAAGAAAAATTATCAAAGACATAGGGATGATGTATAGGATCTGAAAAAAATAAATTGTTCTGAAGTGGCAACTCAGATAATGTCAAATGTACCATTACACACAAATGCCAGAGGTTAGTATACATTTTAGAAACTAATGTCATGTAAACAATGGTTAAAAGATATGGCAAATAGAAATTGTAAGTGTTGGTGAGGAGGTAGAGAAATTTAAACACTCATTGTTGGCTGGAGGGCACAATGGTTCAGCCACTATGGAAAAAAAAATAGTTTGATAGTTTCTCAAAAAGTTAAACAAAGAATCACCATATAATTCAGCAATTCCACTCCTAGGAATATACACGGGGGGACTGAAAACAGTTCAGTGCATGCACATATTCACAGTAGCACCATTTACAAGAGCCAAAATGTTGAAATAGCCCAATTTTCCAGTAACAGATGAATGGATAAACAGATTGTGGTATGTCCATACAAAGGAATATTATTCAGTTATGAAAGGAAAAAGTACTGATATCAACTGCCAGACCAGCATACTAAGTGAAAGAAGGTCACATTTTACATGATTTCATGTCTATAAAATATCCAGAACAGATAAATCTATAGGACAGAATGCTGATTAGCAGTTGCCAAGGGCCAAGGAAAGGGAAAAATGCAGAGAAATGTAGAAAAACTGCTTTAATGGGTAAGAGGCTTTACCTATTAACACATTATTATTTAAATTAAGATGGAAATGTTATGGAAACTAGACAAATGTGGTAGTTATGCATTGCTATGTACTAAATGCCACCGAAATGTTCATTTTAAAATGGTTAATTTTCTATGGTGGAAGACATCACTCACCTTAATCTATCAATGGCCTCTGTCTCCATTCAATTTTATCTCCAAAACTTCAGTTCAAATATCCCTCCTCTTCCTTTAATAGTTGCTTCTTTGGTTCTTGCATCAAGACTGCCCTGATTAAAAAGAACAGAAGATGGTAAGGCATAAATATCCAGAAGATGGTAAGGCATAAAACTACTTCTACAAAAATAATTTTTCAATCAAAATAGGGACCAGAATCATGGCTATGGAGAACATAAATGAGTGAATTTTCCAGGTACATTGTTTCCTCCTGGGATAGGAAGTCTTCCATAGCAGATGGGCTACTGATTCCTCTCCATTTCCCAGGGAATTTCACATTAATATTCTCAAAAAAAACAGTGCTGAGGAAACATGATCACACATGGTTAAACAGAAGTCTGGCCAAGTGGCATTGCCTCTGATTTTTGCTGTTCACGAAGTGCAGACCCATGGGACATATAGCATGGACCTCAGAGAACACCATCAGGAAGAGGAGAGGAGAGATGACCATTTAGTCAAATGTTCTATGTTCTCTTGTTCTATCTTAACACAGAGACATGACCTAATCAATAAAAACTTTTAAAAAAAGAAGTGAATTATGGTCATATCAATCAAAATATTTCATGTTTCTCTAAATTTTATGGCTTACATATTAAACAAAACCTGCCCTGGTTAAGACTCAGTGTCCAGTTGCTTAGATGTTACTCTGGGTGTACAGAATCAGGTCCAAGTGAAGTTCTGCGGAGGTCTAATTGTGTAGACTATCACAGAAATGGGCTTTCAGATGTGAGGCACTCATGCCCCAACCTCTGAGAAACTAAGAAAGTTAAGGTTCCCACATGAGAAATTTGGTACTATTACATTTCTTCCAGAACAATCTGTCCTACCTATAAATACTACCAAATCCAATTCTAGGTGGCTTCTGGAACAAGACAAGTGGTCAGGAGTTATTCATGCCAGCATCTGGAAGCATACATGTTCCACATAGTTAATTCTGAGAAAGAGGTAATTCAAACCCTGGGATCATGCCCCCACTCACCCCTCCTCCAATAGCCCCAAAACCCTCATAGCACAATATGTCTCCAAGATGCCTTAAGATAGCATCACCGAATTGGACAATGGCTGGCAGCAATCATCACACAAACTTGCCAGACTTGGGTACATTTGTAGGATGGAAAGCATCTAATGGCCATGAATACTTCATTTAGTGCTTTATTTCAAATGCATTGCAAAAAGTTCACTCTTCAACTCTGGACTCTGCCAAGAATTTCATCTCAACCCCCATCCAACTTCTGGAGAAATTTCATCCAAGTCTTAATATAAGCTTTTCTCAAATGCTCAGTGTTTGAGAGTACTTTGTAATAATTTAGTAGCCTTCTCCCAAGTCATCACCCAGAGAAAGAAGATTGCCCTCTCACTGTTAACCCTTACCTTGCAGAGGGAGACCCTTGAGACTTATAGAAGATTTACAGCCTAGCTGACAAGAGCCTTCTGGATTGATAAATGAAGTGCGAGTCTAGACTTGCAGTCCTCCGGCCCAGGGCCCATCTCACACACACAGAAGGGGCAGCTGACTTTATTGGGAAGGTGACCAGTTACTGAGGTAATAGTTCTTGAGTTCCCCATTTGAGTTACTCCTTGGGAGACCTTTTCTTATACAAAGGTCTATCTTGAAATGTTTTTAAGGTATCACTTATCAGAAAAAAGCAACATACTATTTTATCAACATGCTGGTAAACTTTCATGTATCTGGACCCACAAAGAGAACAGGTTCTGAAACAAAGAGCCCCAGGACAAGTAAGTTTGAATAAAAAGAAGAGAAGAATGATCCACAGAAGGGGTGATCTAGGATGAGAATACATTAAATTGTAAAGGAAGCAGCAATGGAGGAAGGAGAGAAGGGATGAGGGCACTAGACATTTGGCTGGTTTGAAGTAGAACAAAGGAAATGAAAACCAAACTGGGCTTCACTGACAAATCTGCCTGGGTCCAGCAGTGTCTTTGCTGATATCCAGGGAGGAGACATCAGTGAAGGATGATGTGTCTGGTTTTGGTAATGTCTATCATATCCTGCCCTCATTGGCACTACTCCTAAAAGAACTACAGCTCTCCAAGAGCTGTAGGCTTGGGTTGAGTGTCAGGAGCAGGGCAGGTGTAGGGGAAAGAGATAGGAAAAGGTCAGAAGTTCCCCAGGTTGGAGGAGGGTAGCGGGTTAAAGTTTCTGGAATTCCCCATGCCCAGGCCCATCTCCTGGGAGGCAGGTATGGCCGCACAGTTCACTCTGTGACTGAGCATTCATAGTGCCTCTTTGAGTCCATCAGGGATCTCTTATCTCATAGACAAAGGGAGCACATGAGGAAGAGCTGGACCATCAGAGAGCCCTATCTTGGTTCTAGAATGACAGAAGTGTTTATCAAAGTCACAACATCCTTCCCATTTCTCATCCTCTTTCCTCATATTTACTCTATGCTCTAGAACCACCAAGGCAGAACTGCTAAGAGATTGGCTTAGTTTTTTGATAAAATAAAATTTTTGAGTGGTCCATTGAAAATGCTTGCCTAAAAGATAATTTAAATATTCAATGTCCAGGGATTCTAGATACAAACACTCCTCACATTTTAACTTCACACCTATCCCCGGGCTCACCATTACCTCCTGGCATACCCAAACCTCCATGCGGATCTCTGCCTGCTTTAGCTTCTGTCAGGATCCACTCTGAAGGGACAGACAGGGTCAACTGCTTCTGACCTTTTCTGACAAACCTCTCTTCATAATCTTTCCTACCATCGAAAGTTGCCTGTGCCAAGTTCCATTCCCTGAGGGTTTTGCTCGGTGTCTAGTCTAGTCTAGTCTGATAAATTAAGCCATGACAAGAGGAAACAATTGCCTTATGGTTTGTTGAGAGAAATCAATGTATATCGTTGAAGTGTTAATATTATTACCAATGCATTAGTGAGAAATTTGTTAACCATGCAACTGAGAGTTTTCATCATGAGAGGTTCTCCTTGGGGGGATTTCAGACATTGGGACAGATTGTCAGGAGGGAGAGGTTTCAGTATTAGTTCTCCTCACTCACAATGTAGAAGCCAGCTGCCATTGCTATGGTTGCTGCCCATTCCACAGCCAGTCCACCTTATACTTCATTCAATTGAATCTGGAAAAAATCTTAGTGTGATCAGCAGCTAATAAAGTAAACTGTTTGAGAGACACGGAGCAATAATATACAGTTAGTTCCCAATATACCTCAGGGCCAAATATCTTTTAAAAGTTTCTGCAGCTTGATAAAGAATCCTTATTTAGGGACATGCTCCCCAAGACAGGGGCAGAATTGCTCTCATTCTGGGGAGTCAGCACTGTCACCTTCCAGCTCCATCACATGGGGCAAGCCACTCTGAGGCTCAGGTCTTTATCTCTAAACCAGGGATAAATACACCTATTTCACCAAGTGGTGAGGATTCAGTCTTTATGTAATATATGCAAACCACGTAACTCAAGGCTTGTTATACAGTAAATAAGTGAAAAGAGTAACAACCACAGAGGTTATTCCCAGGCACTTTGAGAGTGGAAATAGTCATACTTCAAAAGGTACTTAAAGTGAGCTGTGTGATTTACATATTAGGCAAGAGACTCAAACCATTTGGGTTTGAGAATTTCACATTGCCCTTTGAGACAGCTGGCAAACTGGTGAAGTGTCTCAACCTCAGGGACAGGAATTTCTGCCCTGCAGATACACATTACCTGATTCTGGCAGCTCCCGGAGACAGAACAGAGGGCCTGGTCACCCCTGTGAGAGAAGACTTCTCCCTCTCACCAAGCCAAGAGCATGCCCATAGCCTGTCCTTTTCCTGACCTCATCCTTTTCTACCCACCCACTCCTGGTCCCCTCCCTACTGTGAGAACCTGTGAGAGCCTGCCTAATCTCAACTCCAGGAGTGCGTTTTTGTTTTTAAAATGCCTTGCCCAGCTTAATCAGTAACCAGCAGCCCTCCACTGCCAGTTAGTCGTCTGTCCTGACATGAGTTCCTTCTCCTGCCAGCCAGCAGATGTGACTTTTTTTAGGAAGATTCAATTCCCAGCCTATGCCCTTCTGCCAATGACAGCTTCCCTCTTTGAAGGTTACCTGTCGCCAGCATTCTTGCTCATGAATGCAAAGTAAAGTGGGCGCTTGCCCTGACCTTGAACAAGCTCATCCTTCCATAATACGAGCTCTGAAAGAGAGCATTTGACATGTGCCATCTTATTTGTGTCCAGACTGAGGAAAGGAAGCCCTCGTGACAGGATACCCTCTTAGGTTCTGAGACGTGATTTGTGAATGGCACTTTTCAACTAAACCTTGCAATGATATTCAGCAGGCATGATGTGGAGAAAATGTTAATGAAATCCTGCCTAACTGCAAGAACACATTTGAATAGAATCAAAGTCATATTTGGGATTTTTTCCCCCTCAGATACTAAGTCTTCTCTGCATATATTAACCTTTTGCCAGCTTTTTTTAAAAAGCACAAAATTATGATGATTCATTCATTCAATCATTCTTCAAACATTTATTGAGCACTCATTATGTACCAGACCCTGTACCTAGCACTAAGAATAAAAAATTGAATGAGGCATAGGTTATTTTAGGCAAATAATCAATTATTCAACAGTTTATGCTGATAACCCAACTTCCTGATTTGTCAAAAACAAAAGCAAAAAGACAACATGCATTTCTAGACCCTCTGCTTCATTTGGAAGTAGGCAAAGGGAAAGACAGGGCTCTTGAAAGAGCCAAAAGAGTGCCCAACTACCTAGGGCATGCTGTGGACTTGGGGATATTTTTTGTAAAGGAGGAAAGTATGCTGAGTTATCGCAGACAAGAAAGCAACCAAAATAGACCAGATGATCTTTAGCAGCTTTTCAGAAGGAGCGTATCCAGGCTTCCCTTTGTTTATAAAATAGTCTTTCCAGCAAGAAGGGCCTGTGATGGTCAAGCTAGACTGTTGCTCCTTATCTAGTGGCTGCCTCGTGGCCTGACACTACTGATAGTGAAATCTGGCTAAGCCCTGCTCTGCTGAGAGCAGTGCAAGGCACCATTTAGCAGAAGCTTCCTGATGTGCAGCTTTTAGAGAATTCAA